GCTGAACCACGGAAATTTTAAATAAATGCTAACCCCAGGACTGAGTTAAAACTTTCTAGAATCCATTTCTCACACAATGCAAATATACTTTTACTTTTTACTTTCTATGCAGAAGCCTGGAGAAATTTTCAGTACAGACGGGAACTGAGTAGTGAAGTATAAGTGGATGAACTTGGGACTGGAATATCAACAAAGTCAAAGTTGGTTGAGAACTAATGCATACAAAACACAAAATCACACAATTAGGAACAAATAAGAACTTTTGCTGTAAAATGTGGGAGCTCATAAATTACACAACGTATATTAGTTGACGCATCAGGGAGAACTCTTATGATGTATTAGTTGAAGCAAAATAAATGCTGCATTTGAGAGAGAAGCATTAATGACATTGTACTGCTGAAGTCTCACCTGGAATGCTATGTAATAGTTCTGCTCATCCATTGTCCAGGAAAGTTAACAAGGCAGAAAAAGTGAAAAACTGGTTGTCTGAGGGAGCGGATAATCTCTCTCTCTCTCTCACACACATCTCTCTCTCTCTCTCTCTCTCACACACACACACACACACACACACACACACACACGACTGAGATTGCCTTGATTAGCCTAGGACAGCTGTAGTTTCCCATCTGTAAACACATCAGGGCTAAGTAACCACATCAGTAGAGTTACAAGACTTCATTGTCTTAAACAGTGAACTAGACTTGATGACTCAGGTCACCCCTTTCAACCTTTTGTTTGTATGATGCCTAAACGGGAGCACATGCTCTAATGATGCCTAAACGGGAGCAAGAGTGTTTTATGCCATTGCATTGAAAAAAAAATTTAGATCTTAAAATGACAAGAAGATTTGCGTAGTGGCATCAACAGCAAAAAAAAAAAGCTCAGACTGTATATAGAGCATTTAATAAAAACAGTTACAACTGTATATAAAGGCAAGCAATTTATTTAGAAAATTTAGAGCTATCCTCTTGTATATTCATAGAAGTATCAGAGTCAGAATTCCTAGCTACAATTAAGCAAGTTCTGGTATGAATTTCTGTGTAAACATAAAGGAAGCAAATGAATCAATTACAAATGATTGCACTGCATAGATGATGTGTGAAATTTCCCTTGCAGAACAAATGCAGCTGGTGTGCAATTTCATTATCTTGTTCTCATTTTCACTATTTCCCTCCTATACAAAGATTCAAAGCCAACTGGTTGTCATGCTTTGATAAGCAACGTGCCAGCAGGCAGAAAGAACTGCAAGAACCCCACTGAGAAAATCTGTCAGCTTTTCTTTGACCTATAAAGTTCTGTTTTGGTAGGTGAAAGGGATTTAATCTTTTATATAATTATTTTACAGTAGATAAAACTGTATTTAGTTAGTCTGAACATTCCAGTCTTGTACGCTATATAACTATGCTTTTAAAGGATGTTTCAACGCAGTCCCTCTGACTTTGTTTTAAGCACAAGCATAAGACATTCTTCACTTGAGATGGTACCATAAATACTTTGAGTACAATTTACCAGCAAAATAGGTACCTTCCACTGGACAATGAATTATGGGTAGGAAACGGAATTTAAACCATTTCTTCATCTTACTTTCTTATTCTTTCTGTCATCTTTTATCTGTTCCAGGTTTTTTTCACCATGTGAAATCTGGAACTTTGCAGAGTTGTATGTAAAGTTTTAAACTGCAAAAGGAACATTAATTTAAAAGAGTATACTATGCTAGGCTTCAAGGTCTCACTACCTTTAAACATAAAATCTACTCCAAAGTACAATTTCTGCTAGATAAAGCAAATATTTCTATAATTGCTCCCCTTAGATTCTTTTGCTTTGAAGTTGTTGGTCTTATTTATAAGTAGCCCTTCTGATTTTAGGAAGTTAAAGCAAGAAAGGTCCCAGATTTGCAAACATACTGTTGTAAGCAATTGTCTTGTGCAGTTATAAGTTACTGGAGTCTTGTAACAGTCAATCCTCTGTAGAGTAATGCATTGTAAATAGAATTCCACATTTATGGAATTTGGACTGCTTCTTGAGGAGAAAAGGCTGATATAAAAATATCAAAAATATAAAGCATCAGCCTGATCATAATGTTATACTGTATTGAAATTATTTATACAATGTATGAATTTGACTAATAAATAGGAGCCCAAGTAAAACTGTAACAATGTATCAGCAATTTCAAAATACAAGTTTTCATACAATACTTAGATACCTGGTTTAAGGTATCATAAACCATAATGATCATTCAGATAATCTAAAACTGCTGAGGTACTTGATAAAACATTAAAAACTTTTTTTTCTTGTTTTGAAGTTATCCGTTCCATCATGTACATTAAGTGATGGTGAAAACATGTAAAAGGAGTCCCGTGCTCAAGAGCAATGTCAACCCAGTCCTGGATGCACTTCAAAGGTGTCTCTTCATATCCTGCAAACATAGCTGGATTTGCTAGGAGTCCTCTAGCCACCATTACACCTTTAAACAAGAAATTAAAACAGAAAGTTATAATAAAGTTTAAATTCAACATTCAATTTTCCTGTTGATTTTGCATGGCGCCTATTATGGCAAACATCCAAAGTCTGTGGAACACTAACAGAAGAACAGCAGAACAGGTATACAGCTACATCAGAGAAATCCATTTATCATTCCAAGCCCCAGAGCACCTACGTCATCTGTCAGAAAGTTCAACTTCGCGATGTATCGTTCCAGAAATTTTGAAACGGCATACAAGATGAAACGGAAGCCTTTCTTCCCTGCTTTTTAAACAGAAATTCAGTTGTGTTTTATAACATAAAGTTACGATGGAAAGATTCTCCTCTATTACACATTTTCTTTTGTATTGTACTAAACAGTTTTTCTTGTTTTATTTCTTGTTTCTGTTGTTGCTCCTAAACACTAGTAATATTGACTACTGTTCTCTGTCGAGTTATTCTCTAGCTGTAGGACCCAAACTCTGTATATCCACACTACTCCTTCAAAACATGTATTGAATTTTCATATTGTCCTGAAGTCATAGACATCCACAGGAATCCATTGTGACAGGCACCAAATAACTCTATGTATCCTAAAATTCCTTTTCACCAAAATATTACAACTGAAGCGTAAGACAAGTTAGATGCATGCAGATAGGAGTGTGCAGTGTCTCACTGCGTCCGTGAAGCTACCGATCTTAACTGTTTTTAAGCATCTGCCTCAACCAAATTTCCTTCTCTGCCTTCTTACCGCAAGAAAAGTGTTCCAATATGCAGGGAACAGAATTTTCCAAGGGGAAGCTTACAGTTCTATAAAAGATGAAGAGCTTTGTAAAAAGAGGGAATGCATATTTGAAGGTCCCCCTGAACTCCACTACTGAGTGATGAGACAGCATAAGTAAGCAAAGGCTTTTGTAACCTGCCCTTGAAATCTTTATTTGTGGTTTTGAACAACAGTGCTCTAGTGCTCTAATGATTACAAGTGACTTTATGAATTTATAAGGCATCTAAAACACCCTCTTTCCTCCCTCTTCTCAAAGAGGGAGAGGAGAGGGAGGGAGAAATAAAACCACCCACCCACCCAAATCATGTCCAATTTTAGGCAAAACAAATACTTAGAAACGTGATTTCCAAGTTTATTTTAAAAAAGTGTTTAATCTTACCATCTGCTCCCGTCAGGTGATGAACATTTTCAGCATCTTTTAAAGTTTTAATGTCTCCATTAGCCACAATAGGTATAGACATACTTTGTTTAATAATTTTAATTGCATCATAATGTACAGGCTGATGTCTTTCTTCTACCTTTCTCCCATGTACTGTAATCCATGAAACCCCAGTTGCTTCAGCTTTTCGACACAGGTCAACGGTTCTTTTTAAGTCCTCATGGATCCTAAAATTCCAAGCAATGGAAACATTATCTAGTAACTTATCTGCATTGTTTAAGAAGCCATCAGCTAAGGTAGAGTTAACAGAGATGATATAAATAACTGTATAAGTGAAGAAATGTTACTGGTGGAAGGTAAAGAGACATTCTAATAAAAAAAATACGATTTTGTTGTATTAAAATCACTATGGAATTTAGTATTGTCCAATTACATCACATCTCTGAAATAAACATGAGTTTTACAAAGACTGAGCAAAAGTACCCAAAAGATTCTAAAATAAACGTCACTTCATTTTACATAGCTTTGCGGAAAAAAAATAAATCTATAGCGATGCAACTTTTCTGAGGGATTGTAAACCGAGTTGCAAAAGCCTCACAAGTCATTCTAATAGTGGATGGAGTGCTGCAGGACACTTATAAAGCAATGTCGAACAAGGCTTTCCAGAAGTTCAGCCGGTGACGAAAGGAAGCAGACTTGTTTCCTTCTCAGCAGCTGTGGGAGGCCAGCTCCTAGTTTTGTTACCCCTCCCTTAACGGACGACAGCACCCGTGGCTCTGGGCTCTAATAGCTCACAAAGTAAGTTGTCATGATTGTACAGACTATGCAACCCTCTTAGCATTGCTTTTCTGTTACAGACCCCTACATCTTTGAACTCTTACATTCAATGTCTTTTGTACTGTAAGAAAACTCTGGCATACACTGTGATAGGTGGGTAAGTTAAAGGCTGTGCCGATTCCACTGTCTCAGACTGGGATTACTTGCCCCAGATGTTCTTTGACCAGCTGGCATCAAAAAAAACCAAATCTTGAAAATCTTCATATTTAAGGAAATTATAGTAATGTGCAACACATTAATATTTAAGATAAGTAATCATATTAAACTGTAACTATTACACTAACAGGTTTTTTTCCTTTAAAAAAATTTAAGGGATTCTTCCATGTACCGTAAACAGCAGTAAGTTTGACCTACCTTATTTTAATAGACACTGAAAATCTAGGGTTGTTGATCTGATTCCTTACATGTCTCACCATATCTCGAACTAGCTCCGGTTTATTTATTAAGGAAGCACCATAACCTTCTGCCATTGCCCATCTTGAAAAGAAAAAGAAGCACGTTTATAATCTACATTCAAAAACAAACATGTCCCTTCCCCCCCCCTCCTCCCCCGCAAGAGAGACTAATTTCAGCCAAATAAATCACTGCAGTTTCCCTCTTTACTGCCTTCAAAAAGTGCGGTTAAGTAAGCAGAGATAGTACTGGTTGCAGTTCAATAATGTATTTGCAGCATATCAGCTTTTAGATCCCAGTTCAGTCTCTATTTTACAATTAGAACTTTGGACAAGTTATTAAGCTCTTCCAATTCAATCTCCTGTCTACAAAATGGACACAAGGAAATCATGAAGATAAGTTACTGCTTGATCAACACTGATGTACATCATATATAAACGGGGAGTAATCTGATGTGTCCTGTTCCCCCCTCCGCCCCCTCGCATACGGGTCACGGATTTCTTCTAAACAGAAAATGACTTTCTGTTCAAAAGGAAGATTCTGAAATGCAAATAAGGATCTGATTTCAGTAATAGTCTCTTTACCCTCAACTGTGACACACTTACTTTTGCTTGGCGGGAAATAACCTCTGCCGTTAAGTGGAAGCAGCAGTTTATAATTTTTTAAATAATTTTTCTTATATAGGCAGATGAGGTATACACAGTTTGATTATTTTGAAACCAACATGCACAAGAAACAAAAGCATGTATTTCTAGCCTGAAAGGAACTTCTAGCTTGGCACATTTAACTGTAGTAGCTTAGGAAAAAAAAAAAAAAAAAAAAAAAACCGCTTCCATTTGTAAATCTCAGTTCTCTCCAGAAAAGTGTTCTGTCAAATACTGTAATGTTTAGTGAAGATAACCTAATGAGAACAGACAAATTAAGTATTTGCACCATAATATTATCTTTTGCTTTCCTAAATTTATTATCTAAGGGCTTCACTCAGAAAAACACTGCTTGACAGGCGAATAATAAATGGTTCTCAGCTGAGCCAGTTAGCGAGAATCTTCGTTTGTGCATTAGTACTCCCTGTCTCACTGTCAAGACAAAATCTTTATCAAGTTATTAAGCGAGAAGTAGATCACTGATTCACTATATTTATAAACCTAGTTAAAAAAAATGGAAGAAATGTATTATTCAGGAAGTGGTGAAAATAAATCTGTATAATTACATTTTAGAGACGATCCTTCGCTTGCCAAAGTCTGAGACGTAAGGGACTTGCCTCATCATTTGGGGAACTGCCACATCATTTCTCAACATACTTTCCAAATTTCTTGCAATGAAGCTCTTTTTCTGGAAAGTCAAATAGCACATCATGGCATTGGTAATGCCTATTTAACAGCCATTGAGAAGGGATGGGCACTTCACTCCTGAGCCAACACTCAATTTCTCAGAAATGAAAAAAGGCAGGTTGGCAAAAATACCTGGTTTCCTCAGTCTCACCATGGTGACAGGTATCTCAGAATATTCAGAACAGTATCTTATCACAAAGACATTTCCGACTGACACTTTAAAGTGCTGTTACTATCTTAACCTTTATTTTTAAGCTTAGGCAAACATGACTATTAAAATTATTTCATCATATTTACACAGCTTTTTTCAAAATTTTACCTCTGAGGGCAGCCGCAGTTTAGGTCTATCCCATCCGCAAAAGGACAGACGATACGGGCAGCATCACATAAAACCTGTGCTTCTTTAGCAGCAAACTGAACAATCAGTGGATGATCACCTACTCCAATGAAAACATATTTAGAGATTGGGGGGGGAGGGGGAGATGAAATTTTAAATTGTGACTTTTTTATTAATCCTGGATAAATATCAACATTTATCTTTCTTTCCTAAAAATCTTTAAAAATATATATTTATTTACAAAACTACTACCGATAATCCATTGTCAATATCAGTAATCTGTTTAAAAGCAGTATTATTAGTTTACTCTACGCATAAAGATCAGAAAATAATTAGGTTATTGTTCATTTGTATTTTGTATTATTCTTGCGTGTTCTTAGACCCACAAATCATAAGCATTAAAAACAAAACGAGTAAAACCACCACTGTTGCCTCTGTATCTCCAACATAAATAATCTATCAGCTCTCTTATTTGGTTCTTATTTTCCCTATTTCTTCTCCTTTATTAACACACAATCCCACAGTTTAATTGCCATGTAATTTTCAATTGATTTCAACAGTCGTTGCCTCTGAATTAGCTAAGCAGAACCAGATAAGCTCTATTACTCTCTTTGTGACAGTAACCTTTTCAGCTCTTCTTCAGTATCACTTGTGGGAGTGATACTCCAGCTAAAAATACTACCATAACTTGACTATAACAGTGCCAAAGCCTTGCCATGTGCTTCCTTAGGCTATGCCAATGCCTTAGCATAGACTTTCTCCTCATTCACCATGCGCTACATAACCTCTTGAACTCTTGTTTTTGAATACAGTTGTAGCTATGGAGAATCTTTCTGCTGAATATAGGATTTTTAGGGGTTATTTATTATTAAGTTATTGAAATGAAGCCGCTGCTAGTGTGAAAAGCTTTGATATGAAACCAGAGCAGCATGTCCTGAAAGCAGGGTTGTCGTCTTGCTGAAAATATATTTTCTGTAATGCCTATAATCGGCTATAATCGATGCCACACATCGGCTATGTGTGTGGAATTGCTAACGAGGATTAACATGTAGGTAGCATAGCACAGACACTACAATGGATGGTAGCTGTCCGCAGCCCCTTAAGAGAGGCAGAAGAACCATCTGTCAAGATCCTGAGTCTCTCACCAAAGAGAACTGCACTTCAACAGTGACTTGCTCCATTCAGGTGTATCAAGCCACTTAGAGCTTATGTATTGCTCTACTTGTATACAATATATGCTCATTAACAAAGATTTCCAGTGTCCTTGCCTCTGTCTGCTTTAGTCATTTTCATCCCACAAAACAACAACTCTTGTAGCAGGAACAACAACAACAACCTGATGGGTATAAATTATAACACAGATCAAGAACCAGACCTAAGAAAGAGAGAACTCAGATTCCTGAAGTAGGACATAGATACAAGGCACATCAGTTCATACTGATATTCCAGGAAAATCCAGTAAATTCAGTAAAAGAGTTGGAAGAATCGGAAAACAAAGGGTGCTACTGAGGTGGCTTCCAGTGTCCGCTCCCTGGACTGTGGCAGGTCCCAGGTCCAAGGTAAGTGACCGTTAAGAGCAAAATCCATAAACCCAACATTGACTAGATGAGGTCCCTTATGAACGGGCTATAACCCGGTTCTGGCAGGAAGGGTAGCAAGTGTCTTCTCCCACAGATTATTTTGTGGCTACTGAAGTGCTCTTTCGGTAGGCAGGTAATTGTGATCCTCTTGGCTGAGGGAGTCCTAGGAACTGTGATTTCTAACCAATTATTATTATTATATAAAACGGGCACCACAATCGCCTTCACTCCCAATGTCCTGTCAAAGAGAGGCTTTGCTCATCGGAAGGCAGGACAACACTTGCAAAGGAAAGACAGCACTGAGCTCAGGATCACAAATTAATAGAGACGCATCTGGCCAGCAGTCACTAGGTAAATGTGTCTATCAAGACAGATGGAAATTCAGACATAGAACTCTGTCCTAGGCATCTGCTGGCTCAACATACACCTTTCCTGACTGAAATTGGTCTGGTGCCTACCTTCCACAAAGACAATAACATATGAAAACGAGTATTGGAGACCAAATACCTATTTATCAGATATTTCGATTCTTTACCTGATCTAGTCTCATTCTTTCAAGCAATTCTATTTTCAAGCAAAGGAAGCAGAAAAGCAAGCTCAGCTTTAGTGTGTTTTACAGTATTCTATCTATTTTTCTAGTCCACCTCTTCTTGCTAGCATGCTGTCCCTGTGCTGTGCTGACACAGCTGTCTGTTTTGCCAAGCGGGAAACTTGCTGAGGGAACTAACCCTTCAGAAAGGAGCTAAACAACCCACAAACGTTTCCCTTTCCTTATTACAGCCCCTTTTCCCCCCTCTTTCTGTGCCAACGTGGCTATTCTTTGTCTGCAAAGCAATGGGCAGAGCTGGCATGAAAACACACGGGCAGAGGCAGCTTTAGCAGCTTTGCGTCAAGCGGGAAACCAAAGTGTCAGCGCTCCTCAACTTGGGTGTACTGAACTATCTGTGATTTACTAAGCCTGTGCAGAGAGCCAGATGGTTATATAAAACATGCTCTCCTCTTTTACAGCTGCTGCATTACGTTAAAAGCATCTAAAAATATCTCATCTTAGCACTCACCTTCCATATAAACAATTACTGCAGTTAAAAGGAAGGGGCAATAGGGTAAGAAAGCTACCTAAGTGTAGCAAGTGAAAAGAGATGATCCAACCGTGCACAAGGCAAGTGCATTTGTAGTGCTGAAGACTACAAGTGGTTCTGCAGATTTTCTGAAAAATCTTTCCTATTTTAGTGGAAAACACGTAGTTCAAATCTCAGAGGACAGCAATACTCTTACCAATCAAGTTGAGACACTTCTAGAAGTCCCCTAAAAACCCCAGCAAGCAAAATAATTCCTTGCATATTTTCCAAAGAGTGTCCATTTACACAGTGCTCAGCTGAAGAGATTTACATGGTTATTGTTAAAATTGTGGAATAATCCTTTACTCCTAATTTTTTGGCTGAGAATTAAATAATAAAAATGATGAGTCTAGACATAGTACAATTTTTAGCAGAAGCCACAGTGAACATCTACGCCTATCTTAGAAATGCATAACACAGAAACGACTGTCCCAAATAAAACTGAAGAACAGAAGTTGCAACTGTAGGCTCCAACTCCACTCCACTAATTAGAAGACAAAATCCCCAAACAAGCAGCCTGAATGTTAAACGTAAAACCACAATAAAATTTTAACAAGTAGCTCCACAACAGGTTGTGAAAGAATAAACGCTAATCATGCGAGTATGGTAATCTTAGCAAAGCTGTCTGAGGCAGAGTATTTTAGAGGCCTATAAAATCACAGCCAGCATGAAAGAGGTGAACAGGTAAAAGATATTGTTTATAACACCAGAACAATTTAATTGTGTATCCCTTGTTATCAGTCAACAAAGTTAAAACAGAAAGCAGCATTTCCTCTCCGCTTCTCCCCCTCTCCTCCCTGCCAATACTCTGCACAATTAAACTGTGGAACTTAATTGCCATGGGTTGCTGTGAAGATCAGAAGTATAAATAAATTCAAGAGAGGGAGAATACTGGTTCTGTGGACCTTTGAGCCAATATATATTGTCAGTTATGCTCTTATTTATTTACTGTTTACACACAAAGAACATTCATGTTTATTTCAAGTTGAATTCTTCTACTAGTAATAGAGCCTACCTGTGCTTCCTAACATGACTTTGCTCTGTAACTTGTCTGTTCTAGTTGAGTAATGCCCCACATGAAATGGTCAGTGCTAAAATCATAAAGTTTACTCCCACTGCTGCTATGTAAATGAAACCACCAATTCAGCAGCACAAACAGATGAAGGCATCTCACTTTGTAGATCTGACAAGGGCGATCTCCACAGTAGCAGAGGCTCTCTCTACGTCTTCTGTTTTACTCCTTATGCTCCATTTTACACTATTCTGTTGCAGACACCTCACACCAGCTGACCTTTGTCTTTATTGTTACCCCTTTCCATATATTTTGTACCAATTTCCTCTTACCCTTTACAGCTGGGACTCGTACTGTACAATTCCTCACACTCCTCCTTTGTTATCTTTTATGGTTCTATCTTTGTAGCATGCCTGGAGGGTTGTGTCTCCCCTTCCAACTCCGCACCACGCTTCCACTTCCAGGTCTCTGCTTATTCCTTTTATCATTCTTGCTGTATCTAAAGCAGTACATTGAAAGCCCCTTCCTTTCCATGCCAGCTAACCTGAATCTCTGCTCCCCTTATCAATCCCCAATTCCACTGCATCAAATGGGTGTTTCATCCATTTTTCCCTCTTTTACAAGCCACTTATTTCTGTTAGAGACCAGGAAATGAGTGAAGCGTTCGTCTCTGATATACGCAAGAAACAGCAATTGCTAGGAGAGGAATCTCACTGCCACCTACATCAGTTTGGAGGCCTTGATTTTCACGCAGAGTCGAGGTTCTCCAGTATTCCATATGACACATTATCACTGGGATATACCCACTCTTCCCTATAGTATTTCTGTGGTTTTGCAGCCAATCAGATGCAATATCCCTGAATTGTTACGGATATCAAACTGCGTAACAGACTTCATTTACTTGGCCAATTAGGTTAACCATTGCATAAAACATTCCGAAAACGCAACCGCTTGTTTAAAAAATACCTTTGTTTGTTGTGAATTCGCTGTCTCTAGCTTTTGCAGATCTCACAAAATCAGCTGCCACTATCATTGGTGTATAACACAAATCGCAATTGTATTTCCTAACCAAGGTTCTGAAAGCCAACCTGCAGGCACATGAATATTAAAGATACACATTAAAGATATCTTCTAATTAGCTCTTCCAAAATGCTGTTTTGACATACAACACCGTGGGAATGTTTAAGTATAATCGTAAGATAAACACATCCCACCTTTATCTTCCTCTTAAATAATCACAGAAGGGGAAAAGGAGGTGATCAACCTCTGCATTTACAGCCAATAAAAACTTCCTCTCAGAAAATACGCTGAAAACATACACCTGACATGACTTACTTTGAATAACGGACCATAGGGGCACATATTTTTACAACTTGCCCAGAAAGAAACAAATCCACTGGATCTTTTACTTGGCATTGTTCAGTTCCTACGACGGCGTCACCAACCATGTAGCGTTAGCAACCGTTTCAGCATCTGAGGGGAAAGAAAAGAAAAAAAAAAACACCTGAGCAACGCCTGAAATGGGGGTATTTCAGCTATTTCTCACACGCCACGCAGGACAGCACTAGAGTTTCAGTTGTGTTCGCCAGAGCTCAGGGCTTTGTCCCGCCTGCGCTTGAAAACCGCCTGAGGCGGAGGCTGCCCGGCCTCGGGTCTGCCCGCACCCGCGGCCTGGACTCTCGCCTCAG